CCTTTTTTTTTTTCTTTTTTTTTTTTTTTTTTTTTATCATTTTGTCTGTTTTCATTTCTTTCCAACCTGCAAGAGGAGTAGTTACTTTCAACTATCAGAAGGTTTAATATGAAATGTTACTGTATACTGTATTAGGTAGAAATGTGAAAAGGTCAACCCGTGCTGGTCCGCCAGCTTTGCAGAGGCCAAGTATGGTCCACATTTTGGCAAGTTGGGCCAGGACATACTGAAAAATTCGAGCCCTGACTCAGCGGAATGTCCAGCCCACCTGCCAAAACAAGCCCGGCCTAAGCAGAATCCCTTTTAAAGACACGGAGATATACAAAAATCTTATTCATTATACTTGTTTACTGTGCATGCCAAATATGCTCTTAAAGTTGGTTTGTATAAACAGAAAGAAAAGGAGCAGGTGACACAAATAGTTGCAGTAGAGAAGGAAAGAAATGAAGAGCGAAAGATTACCTTAATTTTGCATCTAGATTGGGTACTCCATAAAAGGCAAGAGAATAATACTGAGTGGTAGCACATATTCTGTGTGAATCAATCTTTTCCAGTCCCTTCCCTAAACTGCAAACTCAAATATTGAAGTTCTTACATTCCGTGTCTAGTATCTTCTTCTCCTCTCCTTCCATTCCTTTCCTTTCCTTTCCTTATCTGTGCATTGTCCTCAATTCTAACAAATTTTCCTTCCTTCCTATCCACTATCCAAACGACGCTTTTAAATTGTTTCCCCATTTTTTTTCCCTCTGAAACAACAGAAAATCAGCTATAAAACTTATATATTGTACCCCAACGTGCTTCATTACTGCTTTAAAAAAAAAAAAAAAAAAAAAAAAAAAAAAAAAAGGGAGCAGCAACTCAAAAGCTTATGGGTAAATACCATTACGTCCTTTACTCAACCATAATCAGAATTAGGAAGCAGTTAAGCATCACAGAGGAGACCTGCATTAAAATGATTCCATGGCGTTTCCAGTCCTACTTTTTTTCAAAAATAGCATTTCCACGTCATATAAAGTTGTGTCGTGTCACATTTTCTATTTCCATTCCAAAGCAAATCTAGATTCCAGCTTGTGTCTGAAGCTTAACAATTAATTTGTCATCCTCGAGTCCCTTCAAAAATCTTTGGGCGCACACGTTCTCTCTGCACTAAACTTGCAATCCTTGCAGCACTGATGAAAAAATCAGCCATCGCTCAGGATCAGTTTCTAGACAACCTCTTGATCTTATTGCAAGAGTGCTTGCAGGCATAAATAAAAAGAAGCTATTATTAGTTGATACAGGAGGATCCGAGTCGAGTGACGTTGGTCTGTCAGATAGCTCGTTGATAGCACTGAGATGCTATGAGATGGTGCATCGGCGCAAAGATGGAAAATAAATGCAATATTTCCTTAATTGGGGCAATTTTGGCACGTTTTGTTAATTTGGCCATCATTTTGGCTACAGTTATCAGAATCGCTATTATGATCCCAATCCAGAAAGCTCTCTTCCATGCGTACGTCGTGGTTATACTCGGTAGGCATCAATTTCGAGCCCAAACTCCGCTATTTTTCTTTCCGACACTTTTTAATTTTTTTTTTTTTATGGTAATATTTCGTTTTCTTTTTTCTAAACGTAGAGAATCCAGATTGAGCCAAATTTTTGGCAACTTACTTCGTTTATTTCATATTTTATTTTGGTGTAATCGTTAGGATTTTGCCATTTTTGTTAATTTTTCGATAATTTCGTATTTTTGCAGCTATTTAACCTGACTTGTGGGTTAAATTATCGTCATTCTACATTGATAATAAAATTAAGTTAATTTCAGAGAATTTCTCTATGTTCTAAGGCGTTTTCTTTCTTGTTCTATTGTGAATCATCTATTACAGCTAACCTGCAGGATAATCGCTATCGTGTCCGACATCAGTTGGAATCAGAGCGTCAGTATTTTCCTGCAGTGAAATTTTCATCAGTTACAATGGTTGGTGGACGTGGTCATGGTCGACGAGGGCAGGTTCCGATTGAGGAAGTCTCACATCTTGATCGCAATGTTCAGGATGTGACGATTGAAGATTTGCAGAGATAAGTTGCAGAGTTAATCCAACGTTTGGCAGAACAGGAGTTCGGTAATCATGATGTAGAGGGTCACGATTCCGATACCAGTTTCCAAAGCCGTATCACAATCGTGCTCGAGTCTGACAGCATCGTGGACGGGAAGATCGCCATGTAGACCTCGGTTTCAAAGTGGATCTATCGGAGTTTGCTGGTACGTTATAGGCTAAAGGTTTTATTGATTGGTTGAATGAAGTGGAGCGAATTTTTGAGTATAAGGAGGTTCCAGATCGTGTCAAGGTAAAATTGATCGCCATCAAACTTAAGGGAAGAACTTCTGCATGGTAGGAACAAATGAGGCATTCGCGAGAGCGGCAAGGCAAGTCTAAGATCACTGATTAGGAGAAGATGAAGAAAAAGATGAAAGGGCACTTTCTTCCTGTCGGCTATACTCAATCTTTATTTCAACGACTCCATTCACTGAGGCAAGGTACGAGATCTGATGATGATTATACTGAAGAGTTCTATCAATTGAT